CCCACCCTCTTAATCGTTTCACTTAGTTTTTTTCGCCATTTTCCCACTACATGGCGCCTTGCTAGCACTTTGGGCCAGTTACAAAATATCGCAACTGCCTTTAACTACGAAATGGCCTCTGAGGGTAGGTTGTTCTCGTGAGAAACCCAGCTCTCATCGTTGATATTGGTCGCTCTGACAAAATTCCGCCCAAGAAATATTTCACGAGTGGTTAAGAGTGCCGCCTGGACTTGTCAATGCCCATCACTTTCGGTGGCCCGGTCCATTCAGGGTATGAGCATGCCCCAGTCCATTCAGTAGATGAGCAATATTGTTGGGCCTTGTTCAGTATGTCCCAGTCCATTCAGTAGATGAGCAATATTGTTGGGCCTTGTTCAAGTTAGCTGCTCCAATTGCCTGGTTTGGTTGATGCAGTCTTACTTCATGGTACAGAAAATATTTTTCCATGGAGGCCGTAAAGCCACGGTAAGCCCGATTTCTTCAGCTTGTACTGCCTCTTCGAACCATTGCCTAACACTCCAGTCACTAGCAGGCCTGCCCAAACTGTGGAATGATGACTGTTTCACCGTGCCTTTTGAATTGCCCTCCAACTCGCATTAATAATGTACAACTTACAATTAGAGAAACTGATGCTGTTCCAGTCCATTTGGACCTTCCATTAATCAATCAATAACGCGCTTCCTCTTTTTATAGCTCGCGGCCAAAGCCCCGATAACATTCTTTCATGTATCAGGGCTACACATTAACCCCACTCAGAGCCAAAAAATTTGAATCGGAATGATATTCGGGCAAGAAAATGGCTAGCGCTGTTAGAATAGTCGATTTAAAAAATTCTATCATCGGGGTACGATCAAACAATCAACGGAGAAACAGAGATGTGAGAAATAAGGCTTTTTTAGGAGAAATCGGTCATTCGCCTTAGGTTTGCAGAATTGCGCAGAGAGCGGACGGTCCACGATACAATGAGGTGGCGCCACGTGTGCGGCATTCGCACCACGACCTCACTAGTTCGACGAGGATATAATGCTGACTAGCTAGCAAATCTAGCAAAGCTAGCTGTGTTAGTTTCTGTGCATCGCCGCAACGTGGATCTCCCACAATGCACTCAGCGGACACCCTTTATTTCTCAGTCCACCGATCAATGCAGCAATTAACGCTATTTTTCTACTTCTGTTTTGCATTAACAGGCTGCAAATTCCGCTACATAAAATAGCCTGTAGTTGTGTAATGGGTGCAGGGCAGGTCATGGGGATATGCAAAGGGCGATGTCGACACAATCCCCCGAAAGAGGCTCTCACTACGAGTTCCTACACATTCGCCTCCTACTCAGTTTCCAAACTTCTGCTGCTGAGCGTGCAGGGAGGGAAGTTAGCGCGAACGAAATGGGAACCATCCGTACTAGGAAAATTCTTTCAACCCCGAATGCGACTTCCCCCCTCCCCCCTTTATGGGATTCCTTCCAGGCCATATCTCAAAATGTGGCCCCCTTCAGGGATCCTCATAACGACGATGAAGATTTGATGGGTGCATTTCAGCACATTATAGTTACTGCGAGAACAGCCTGGTGTTCCAACGGGGTGGCGTGGGCGACAATCGCACCACAATCCCGCTGATGCAGCGTGGAACGCTTGACAACTCGATGTCTTGAACGAGACCCTGTCTGTTTCTTTTACTTCAAATGTTTATACACCTTTTTATTACTTCCAAATCCTTTTTATTGACCACGAAAATATAAAATGCGTACACAATCAATGTGCCAATAGGGGATGTACACTATTGCAAGAAACCTTTTTACAATGTAAAACCAGGTTCAGTCAAATAAAAAGCAGACAGTAAAATGACCTGAAAGAAACTACCACATTTCATATGATCAAGAAGCGAAATCAAAAAAATATAAAAAAACGATTAAGAGGGTGGGCTAATGCTTTATATAGGGAGAGATGTGACATAAACATTATCATATAATATAGCATAAAACTTATGACCTTTGCGCGAAAATTTCTGATGCTTAGCCAAGCCCCCTGTATAGTCGAAGCCGTAATTCAACAAGCAGATAGGTATGAGACGAGAGACACGTGATCGTAATGATGGGAAGGGTCTATTTGAGGAACGAAACACAAAAATCGGGTCGGATGGGAAGAGATGAGCGAGAGGAGTGCATGGGCCATCCACTGTCACCACCTTCAGTCGCGCCATTCAGCACGACTAAAAGTGACGTTCGACTACTCAGTGGTGGGACACCGGTTACTCCTCAGTAACACCTGCGCAAAAGCTGCAAAGACACAGCTTATCCACCTGTCTACTAACAACGAATGACGAGCGATGTGATGAACCAACCCTGAAATGGCAAAGAAGACGTACATACACCACGGGAGCAACGAACGGAATACACGTACCAAAAGTAATAAAATTTCGTGTTCGTGGACAGGTGGGGGTTTTTTACTGCTTCTTCTTCTTCTTAATCATCTTCATCTCTTCTTGTATATGCTTGTGTTGCGCGCATCGCATTGTGGCTATGCTACTACCCTCTTTGAACGCGCGCACAATAAAAAAAATAATACACGCTACACTACTAGAGACACTTGCTACCCTTAACTAGAGTGAAAGTTCGGGACGAGAGCTGAACAGTGCTCAGGCAGACAGTGTGTGCAGGACACGACGCGTACGAGAAAGATGAACGGACTGGATCGGCGATCACCACAACGGCGACGGATGACGGACGGACGGACGATGATCAGAGACGCAAACAGGAAGATGAATGAATGAATGGTATGCATGCATGAATAGATGATGATGATGGGGGATGATTGGGGTGGGACTGGAAAACAGAGAGACCGTGCGCACTAGACCCGACACTACTTCCAGGCCGGGACAGAAAGAACACACATTCCAGAGCACAAGCACGCCGTACACTGAGAATCCACTTTTGGCAATAGGAGAGAACAAATATCGTCACTTTTAAGGCTCAGGCTCGAGGGCATTCACGAATAGTAGTAGTATATAGTACGTGAACACAACATCTTTGCTACATATATCATCATTGAAGATAATATACGATAATATAGAAATACTAATATTAACAAAAAAATATATTTGACAAAACATGAAATAAAAGTGAGACAGAGGTGCTATTCTCGGCCATGTTTATAGATTAGAATAAATGACCCATAAAATAGAGACGGAGCGAAGAACGACGAGGAAGAAAAAGAGCGATGGGTAGGTCGGGTAAGGGACAAGACAATCGTAGTTAGCCGCGTTCATGGGCGTCGCCTGCGACGCCGCGCCGGTCCCGCATGGCAACCAGCGCAGCATCGCATGCATGCTGGAATTGCCAAATGGCCACGTTTATGTATCGTAGATAGCGCGCCGATAGGCGCCGTCTGCGACATCGCGCCGAACGCCGAGCGACAACCAGCGCGACGCGTGTGGCAAATGCCAAATGGAGATATTTCTACGTCGTGGTTGGCGATAATAGACAATGTATAAAAACAGCCATGAATGTCTACGATGTCGTAGTCCATCCGGTGCATCAACACAGGATAATGCAAATCAAGGAAACGCCGCGCGCGACGGAGCGGCAAATTACGATTGTCTTGACCCACTCCCGGGTAGGTGTGGGACGGAGGGAGGGGGAGGGTTAGTGCAACCAACCAACTGAAGAGGCCAACAGGGGCGTGAAATATGGCCCGTCAACGGCAACAAACCACAGACTCGATGTACAATGACTATAACCTAGGAATGGTGGGATAATTTCTTAACATAATGATGACGACGTCGTTTATTTAGGAGCATTTACGGAGCTCTAATGCGCAGACGGCGAACGATGCCCGGTTTTGATGATTTTGAGGAGGATATAAAAAAAGATGAGGATAATGCACAACACAACATCATTCATAGTGCGCTATATTCATTGACACGAAGAGAAGGAGAGACTTGAAGAAGAGTGTACCATAGAGAGAGGAACATAGCTTAGAGAATCTAAAATCACATTTCGGGTAATATGACATTCTATGTGGAACCTCAAAATATAAGTAAAAAAACAACAAACATCGCAACGAAAATACCAAATGATGAGACATGAAGAGAGCACATTGTTGTGGAATCTTATTCTGGACGCGTATTAGCATATGGGGTTGAGATTTAGGAAAGGCGTAACGCGGCCCGTGTGTAGGAAGATAGTTTGCGGAGGATCTCTGAGCTTAACAAGACTTTGTGAACCGTGGATTTGGTGATACACGAGATACCGGACTCGATATGAGAATACGGTGATGGTGGTGGTGCTGCGTTTGCTGCGTTCAATGAGCGGAAAGAAATGATGATAGAAGAGAATAATAATCTCTACTCGAGAAATGAGTAGTGGTAGGCATCAGAGCCGAGCCCTTCGACTGTGGCGCTGCCGCTCGACATACCAGCGTCGGCCAAACCGCGTTGAATCTTCTTCGACAGCTCTGCCACTTCGATTTTCACTGTCGTCACTTCGATGATTAAGCGGTTATACTCTACCTGAAACCATACACAATATTTACCAACTGAAGTTGAAGAGAAATCCTGCGATTGCTCATTCTGGACATCAACATTCAACCACGAGCCTGTATTTTCTAAATGGCTCTCCAGGGGACAAAAAGGCAAAACAGTCATCAAGAACTCTCTAAATAAGGACCCCCGCCAGCCTCTCTGAACGAATTCTCCGGGCCTGCTCACTAATCGTTTCTTCGCGTCATCAATGCTAGTACCATCTAAAAAGGAAAAAGAAAAAACACGATTGAAAATCTGGACTCGCAACAAGAAATAGCCTTTAGGCTTTGGTGGGCGGAACAAACAGGGAGGCGTCAGAAATGTCACTTATGAGGGCCGCAGCGCCTCCTTTACTTACTGTGAAGTCACGGAATCAAGTGACAACGGCAGAAGTCCTGGTCCTGGAAGGGCGAGGGGAATTTCAAGCACCTGTCAACATAACTGAAGATATTATGAAGGCCACTTCCCATTCTTCCCATGCTAGACGGAGTCAGAACGATTGCGAGCTAGGGAACAAGGGTCCACCTAGGGCTTGGGAAGGAGCTACTAGCTGAATAAATTAATTCCTTGACTATTTAAAGAGTTTTCTTTCGATTTTGTGATCAAGTGGTTCACTTATTTGGAAGTATGTTAACAGAAGTTTATGAAAGGCCCTGACAACTTGTAATGCGAAACTATAACGAGAAAATTCAAAAAATTACCTTTTGTACATCATTCATCCATCTTTGCGGACTATTACCGTCGACTTCACCGTCTGGTCGTACACGTACA